CGATTGTATAATCTTGGTACTTTTTAAATGGTTTACGTGACCTCACCAGACGTATTTTTTTATTGAAACGAACGGAATTTAAAAATTAGGTTGATGGTGGGAAGAAATTGTAACTTCCCTTTTCAGCGTAATGCAACTTCCTTCCATTTTATTGTCTCAATTCTGAACAAACACGCTCACATTGCACTAAAAATAATGCATAAATTATAATGCGTGCGGGGTTGGGCCGTCGTCCTCCCTTTTAGTTTTGTGGGATATGCAGGTAGGTAAAACAGCTGGAATAAAAATTTGCACCGTTGCGGTTTGGGGCAACGTAAGACCTACTAAGCATACTTTGAGAAATTATCAGGACGGCTGACAGTAAGCAGTTTTATAAAATATCCTCAATTTGAAAGCGCCAACTTTTTCCTTAGTTGTACATCGCCTTTAAAATTAAAGGGGAACCGTTCTCGTACTTGGCGTTCATCCAACTCTCTTCTATCCAACATCCTGCCAGTACAACTATCCTTCTTCCTCGACAGCTCGTATTTGTTTTGTGAAAAGGTTTATGTTTGAAAAACAAAGTAAAAACAAATATCTTTTCAACCAACTAAAAAATATCGCCGAACATTTCTTGTAGAAATTTTCGAGCGGCCAAAATGCAATTGTATAGTTCGGCCGAAGTATTTTATAGTGGTCGCTAGTCCCATAACCCAAATTTTTCTTGCGTAGAAAAAAAAGTGTAGGAGTTCCAGAATTCCCCACTAGTTCAAACCACCACCTAAAAAGCGGTGGGGGTTTAGTTAGCCTTCCAAAACTTAAAAATGCCGCCGCGAGTAACCGAATCGATACGAGCGTTTGCTGTCACGTGCTTCCAGCTTGGACCAATAGCGAAAGAGAGGTAGAAATTCTAGTTTCGAGTTGAACTCAAAATTTGTTGCACGCTAGTTCGAAACGAGCTGCGTGAGGGTGGGTTAGTACAAGTGGTCGTGTGAACAGTACGTAATGTGAGTGATAGTGGTTTCAACTATGATGGAGGATCCGACGCAGATTCTTTATACTGAACTTCCCGTTCCTTTGCTGTCGACGGCCGCGATTCTTAGGCACAGGCAGCAGCAGCAACTTCACAATCCATGCAGATACCAGCCCTATCAGCGACTGCACCAGCCTCAACTTCAACATCCCGTCTTGGAACTGCACAGGTTGCAGAGAGAAGTTGAGCAGCACGAGGAGCTGGACTTGCATCCGGGCCAAACTCACATTTCCGCGCTTTACCCCGAAATACTAGCACTGATCTTTTCCTACTTAGACGTTAGAGACAAGGGTAGAGTGGCCCAGGTTTGTAGCAGTTGGAGAGATGCATCCTACCACAAGTCCGTCTGGCGAGGAGTCGAAGCCAAGCTGCATTTACGTCGCGCGAATCCCTCACTGTTCGCGTCCCTAGTCAAGAGAGGGATACGCAAGGTGCAGGTGCTGTCCTTCCGGCGGTCCCTTCGGGACGTCATCCAGGGCATACCGAATCTCGAGTCCCTCAACTTGAGCGGATGTTACAACGTTGCGGACATCGGAATCACGCACGCCTTCACGAGCGAAGCTCTTTCTCTTACAAATCTCAATCTTTCTCTCTGCAAACAGGTAACTGATAACTCGTTGAGCCGAATCGCCCAGTACTTAAAAAACTTGGAAGTTTTGGAGTTGGGGGGCTGCTGTAATATTACCAATACCGGTTTGGTTCTCATAGCCTGGGGATTAAAAAGGCTTAAGAGGCTGAATTTACGATCGTGCTGGCATGTTAGTGACCAAGGAATCGGCCATATCAGTGGATATAATCAAGATGCCTCCGGTGGAAATCAAATGTTGGAGTATCTCGGCCTGCAGGACTGCCAGAGGTTGTCGGACGAGGCACTCAAACACGTGTCGATCGGTTTGACTTCCCTTAAATCTATTAATTTAAGTTTCTGCGTTAGCATAACGGATAGTGGTTTGAAATACTTAGCGAAAATGAATTCTTTACGCGAACTCAATTTACGGTCTTGCGACAATATATCGGATATAGGCATGGCGTATTTGACTGAAGGTGGCTCGCAAATCACCTCGTTGGACGTTTCGTTCTGTGAAAAAATTGGGGACCAAGCCTTAGTACACATTTCGCAGGGACTGTTTAACCTTAGATCGTTATCTTTAAGTGCGTGTCAGATTTCGGACGAGGGACTCTATCGAATTTCAAAAACGTTACACGATTTAGAAACTTTAAATATCGGACAGTGTTACAGGGTAACCGACAAAGGCTTGACAAATATCGCCGAGGCCCTTTCTCGATTACAATGTATAGACCTATACGGATGCACCAAAATTACAACGGTCGGAATGGAGAGAATTATGAAGCTGCCCGGACTGAAGGTGCTCAATTTAGGACTTTGGCATGTCAGGTGAAAATGTAGAACTTGTTATTAGAATTTATGGTTAGAAACGAAGCACTACCCGTAAATACAGGTTTGCGTTTAGATCAAAGTCAAAAAAAAGTCACAGGTGCCATTTTTTTACAAATTCATATTCCATCACGGTCATCTCATGCTTGAGGGATCACCTCAAGGTAAAGTCGCCGTTTTGATTATAAAAGGTCAGTTGTCTCGCAAGAACAACATTTGTAATCTATATAATAACTCAAGGATTAAAATAACACAAGCGCGCCGCCGTGGTTTTCCTACCTTGCATTTTGAGTGGATTTTGGGCCCCACTGCCAATTGTTATTCCTTTCGGTTGCATGGCAACAATGTTCCCGCCTTTCAGTTAATCAATTCAACAAAATATGTTGTCCGCTATGGAAAATTAACATGCTTTGTTTTAGTTTATCGCGCTTCCTTATTAATGAAATCCCGAAAAAAACAATTACACGTTTAGCCTTCAGTAGTAAAATTCTTAGGAAAACTCTTAATTTCATTTGTATTGCTTTTAAACTACCTACTTAAGTTAATTGTTAAAATTCTTCAAAAACGAGGAATAAACGATCAAAAACTAAAAATAGAATTTCGGGCGAGATCCCTTTTCTCAATGTGCAACTGTTACAATTGTAAAAAGTGACATACACTAACCAACTGTTATTTAAATTATCGCCTAAGTTTTTTAAAGGCTTCCTCGCAAGCTCCTTGTGCTATTTATACGAAAATTTTTATGTTTTCTACTTTTTTAAGCGCGTACCTTGAAATTAAATTTTGAAATAGATGTAACCATGCGTAGTCGGAAGGTTGTTCTTTATTTAGTTGAGGTGTTTATCGAAATACACGCTGAAAAAGGTGACATGGCCGAACAACATTAGTTTTTTTGTAGCAGTAAAAAGTACCGAAATTTGTACAGTTTATCCGTTTGCTTTCGTTATTACCAAACTGGTCAGTAAAATCGACTGGGCGTATATAATTCAAGGGTTGTGTATATCACTAAATTACACAGTCATCAAAATAGTTTTTTTTCGTCGATTACACGGTTTATCTTTGTACACTCAGATTAGATAAAAATTTGAAGCGTTGCACGTGTAAGCTTATGCTTAAGATTAAGATTCTTAGAGAAATTTTCCAGATGACCCTTTCATGTATTCATGTATTTCTTCAAATTTTTGATCAGATTCAGTACAAATTTATGATGAAATGCTTGTAAAGTGTTATCTGCAAAACACAAACAAGATTACCAATGGGTCCCAAAAGTGAATTGTCAAAAAAAATTGTTTGTGCCCACACTCAAAACGTGCCGGTTAATGAAGCAATTGGAATTTACCTACTTAGTAAGTGTTAATGGTGAAACTGGAACCGAACAACTTTTTAAAGTAAAAAAAATTGAAATCTATGTAAAACTGTAAAAGTAGTTTGGTATAAACGCAGCCATTATATTTGAATTTTTAAAATTTATTTATCCACATTCATGAATTAATAATCAAAATCGATTTCTTTTGAAATGGTACCGTGAGAAGCCATCACGTTGATCTTTTGAACTTACTGTGTGGGTAGACAATTTCAAATGTTCATATTGATAATACGTTACCCTCCATCACAAGTAACAGCATCCGATATGATATTGGGTTTTTTAAAATATTTTTTTCGAGATTTTTGCAATATTTTTCTGCTGAGCAATGTAAAATTATTAAGTGGGATTCGCACCCATTTGGTTCTACAACTTAAAGATTAGGGCAGATTAGGCATTGGGTAGGTTTAGTAGCATTCGGTTGGTTCTATTTTCACCTCCTTCAAAGCTACAACCATTCTTGTTCAAAGCGTAGGAAAAGTTTTAAATTTTTACATACTTTCTAAAACTGGTGGTTCTAATTGTCAAATGCATTAATCCGTTGGAAAAGTATTTTTGCCCTTGATTTTTAAGTGGGCGGAGGTTTCAGCCAAGGCTGCTCCCCCAAGTTCCAACCCAACCCATTATACATTTACAAACATCCATGCCCGAACCTGGATTCGAACCAGATACCCTTGGTACCCCAGGAGCTTCAACTCCACTGCACCACACGAGCCGGTCATACTTAGCATTAACTTGAAATACTTTTACATTTAAGTAACTTTCATTTAAATTATTTTTTATTACTTGCTCATTTAAAAACGAATGTGTCCCCTTGTTATGCTTTTAAAATTTTTGAAATTGTTTTCGATTTTTAATACTTTTAAATAGTGTACCTAAATAGTTAAATTGTGTTCCGGTCTGCTTCTGTTTTTATTATTTCCAAAGGGCATTAATCAATACTGCACACAGCATTAATTTCCCTGCCTAAATAAATAGCCCTCCTCTCTACCGTCGGTCTTTTCATAGTAAATTTTGAATCCGATTAGTCATAGGGGACTAGTATCACTACAAAAAAATGTTTTAAACACATCGCCTATGTATCTAAATTATTTATCAAATTGTTGCAAAGTATTATTTCATATTAAAAAAGACGAGAAAAAAGAGGATTGGAATTACTTGTGAGGTGTTTTGTTCATTGCATTTGTTACCTATCCTCCAATATATTCTTTTCATTTTTAAACACAACCCCGAAATATTGAAAAACACACAAGGAAAAACACGAAAAGACGTAAGTTTTATTAACTGGAGGGGGGGGGGGTACTTTCAGTACAACGGGGCCCACCTGGGTGCCCACATTCAATATGCTTGCACTGTGTACGTATAAAGCACGTTTCCATTTCAATTAAAAAATTACCATTCTGAAATATGTGCGCGTGGTAAAGAGAACACTAGGTATATTTAAATCGTGTACAGAATCAATTACTTTCAGTAAAGATCGGTTCCTTTCGGTACAAGGATTAATTTTTGGAAAGATTCCTCAACATTTCTTAAACCCGCCACATACTGTTTTCCAAAATTGGATTTAAGTAGATATACATAAAGAATGCAACAAAATTTACAAATGAAAAGTAGGAATTTTGTGTTATTTTCTAGAAAAAAGTTCCACCGATGTAAGTATATCATAGTTACTCGCAGTGACGAACAGAAGAATCTCGAAAGTAAAGCCCATACTAAATCCCTTGTGCTACACACAACCAACATAGTAAGGGCATTTTTTTTAATTTCTGCCGTTTCCGTTTATAATATTTTTTATACATTTTTATTATAAATTATTACAAGGTTTTCACATAAATAATGCATTTTACTACCTCCACAGTTCTTGAAATAATTTTCGAGTTTCGGATACGTTTTAGCTCGTGTTTTAGTTTTGGAAAATCTGTAGGATATTTTGGAAACGTTTAAACGAGACCTCGGAAGAGACTTAGAAATGCAAATGTGTAAGTGGTTTTTAAATGTTTAGGAAATCTTTTGGTAACGTGAATGTCTTAAAATGTTTAGAAATTGATGGCAAAATGAGAGACATTTTTTGGAAATATCGAATGATCCAATTACTCCAATTTAAAAACTTTTAAAATATCTAGATAAGGAAATGTATGGTAAGCTTTTTGGAATATTTTGGAAGATTTACGCATCAATTGAATAATAATCAATCGACTGGTAATTGGAATCGAACATTTCCAAAACACTAGACATTCTCAAAAAAATTGCAAAACATTTCTCTGTGCAAATATCTCGGTATATAGACCTCATTTACAAAGTGATCTGATTAGGAATCAAGGTATAATCCACTTTTCTTTTGTTGTATACCGAGCGCATTTTCATCTTTAGACATTTCCACGTTTTCAAAATATCCTACACTTTTCCAAGATTTCCATAAAGTTTCAAAATAATCGATATTCTCAAAATATTGCCTGGAAAAAATCGAAATTTGTTGCTGTAATTATTCAAAATCCGAATTTGAACTAATAAACAAAATAACAATTTTTTTGAGTGGGATGTTATCATACTACCCATGTAAGAAAGAAAAAAGGTAGAAGCTGTTTGGTTTAGATATCTTGACGTAGAATCTAGTGGCGGAGTCAAAAAAAATTTGTACGACCGTTTCTGAAATTTGACGCAAAATTGGTATTTTTTAAATGTAACACCCTATATATAAACGTCAATTTTTTGGATTCGTTTTCCTGATTAGGTACACTGACCTATATTTTTTTAATTAGATATTAATAATAATAATAAAGCTTATTTAATGTTTCGTAGAACAGCCTACATACATTAGTCAATACAAAAGCAAAATAAAAATATTACAAACAAAAATTATAACAACAATACTTAATTGTCACGAAAAGAACTCTGTATACTGAAGAATTCCTCATACGAGTAAAACTCTTTATCAATAAGAAATGCTTTAGTTCTTGATTTGAATAAATTAAAAGGTAAAGCCGAGGGTAAAGCCTTAATATTGTGAGGAATATAATTATACATTTTTATATTGATATAATCAAAACTGTTTTGCGTCTTACCATTGAATAATAAAGATTTATTATTCAATGGTCTTACTTAAACGGCAAAAAGGGACAAATGCATTTAATTTGTTGCGGGTGTCATAATTATGAACATCGCAATTTTTAACAAAATAATGTTCATTGCGCTTAACAAAACAAAGGCAAGTAAAAATAAAAATAGATGGAAGCGTTAATATTTGGTGATCAATGCCGACAATAATCTCTAAATGAAATGTTAGCAATAATCCTCGCAATAATCCATATTACATTATATCATATTTTTCAAAATTTTGAAATTATACGTGTCTACATCAGTCATTTTTATTGATTAGGATTGGCTGTCATGGATTTAATAAACAAAACAAAATCTACATGAATCCATGGCCTACTTTAAAAACCGTAAAATCGAGCGTAAAATATAAGATTTGTATTTTTGGTTCATGGCTAAAATTAAAAAAATATAGGTTCTGATACATCAATGTATAATAAATAAATAAATCAATAAATGTAATCAATGCAAAAAATTGACGTTGAAATATACAGGGTGTTGCATTTCAAATAAACCAACTTTGGGTCTAATCTCAGAAACGGTGGTCAAATTTTTTTTTCTAAAGGACGGAATTAGCCCTTTGAGAAATCTTCTAAAATGAATTAGCATTTGAAATTGTTTTTGTGCGGTGGTTAAATGCATTTTTTTTAGACTTCAAGGGCTAATTTTGCCCCTTAAGGTATTTTCCTCGGTATTTTGTAAAAGAAATTCGACAAGAAATTAGAATTTGAAACTAGTTTTTTGCAGACGTTAAATAACTGTTCATATTCCACCCCTTTAAGCATCTTGAAAAGGTAGCAACATTTGTAACCTTTTTTTTTGTATGGCCGTTTAATGATTTGTATGGTATCGCATACCCAAAACAAAGTAGTATAGTTGTTCTATACTAAACCACATTTTCAAAACGAACTAACTCCTGAGCGCTCTGTATAAACCTTTTGAACAGCTGTTACTTATTATATAATTATGTTTAGGCCTTGTTTAATGAAATATGCTTTAAAGCATGGGCCTAAAAGGTAATTTATTGTATGGAGTATATTTTCCAAAAATTCGAAGAAATCAAAATACTTAATTCAAAAAAATCTTTCAATTTAGGCGTATGAGCTCTATCTAACATATAATTAAAACATAAATCAAGACATTTGAAATAACGAAGTGTGAGTCGACTTCTGGTGTAGTCGCAAATAATCTTTCTTGACCAAAAATAGCAATTTCATTATTTACCATGTAATGGAGATTTTCGCGGGGTGCTAGAAATCCTTTACTCCTATGAAAATTTTAGGCAGAACCTTTTTAGAAGTGCATAAAATTTCCACTTAGATCAGTATAATATTTTGATGTTTATCCAACGGCCGGTTGCAGGAAAGCGAATTATAATCAAAATCCTACATTATTTGCCAAATCTGAGTTTAAACAAGAATTTTGACATTTGATTGGTTGCATACTGCAGTATATAGCCAATTAAATGTCTTAATACCGGATTAAACAATGATCTTGGATTATTTTTTTGTATGCACCTGGCCGCTATACTGGTAATTTATTAGTTATTCCTCGAAAATCGACGTTACTACACAAATTTCAAAAGGAGCTTGCTGGAAAGAACAGCTTGGAAAATTTGATTCTCTTCTTAGACTTTTTTTGAAATCCGATTGGTATATCTTTTACGGCTACAAAAGAACTCCTGTGAAATTACACGCCGCCTCCATTCTAAATGGAACAGGCTTTGCCCTTTTTCGTCTAATGACACCAGTTTTAAATGATGGGAATCTTTTGGGTACTGCCCAACATTGGTGTATTTCGTAAAGTTTACCTCACAGAAAGCGTAAATCTCACGGTAAAAACAACCGCGATTGCAAAACGCTGGAAAAAGAAAGCAAAATAAAGTAGCATTTTAATTTTCTTTACATTTTTAACTCGTTGCACTTGAGATTAGAATAGAATAGCCGGTACGTGTATAATTACGGTGTCACGTACATATAAATTGTTCAAAGCCGAAGGCTATCTTACAATGGCTTATAAATGAAACTGAAAAACTCGCTGTCATGGTAGGAAAACTATCATTAACTATTTTATATTGGCGTCGGCGACAAGCGCAAAAGTTAAAAAGGTGGCATCGCGAAAAGAAAATTTGGTCAGGGTTATTCTGCAACCTCCAAGGACTATTTTGCAAACAATTTGTGCAATAAATGCCGGAGAACCTTGTACGATATTTCTTTATTTGGTAATTTTGTAACAAAAATTCAGTGTATTCCATGATAAACGCGAACCTTTGTTGGGTAAGTGCACTGAGCTGTGATAGTAAAGAAACGAATGACGTAAAGTTCTTTTACTGTGAAATACGCTATATTATTATTATTATATTACAGTAACTATATATATATTGTATAAAGTCGTAGATATTACGTAGAGATAAACAAAAAATCCTTGACTGTTCGAGAACGCGAAGATTTTTCGATTCTGGAAACGCAAACGTCGCCGCTCGCTTGTTCATTAAAATTTCGAACAGAAATTATGCAACGATACTAATTTAAATTTCAAATAATGTTCGGTGGTCAACCTATTTTTATATATTCTCATAACACATTGTTCTATTTTACAACAATGAAGCGATTCCGTTTCGAAAGATTGTAACAATTATGGTGCATGCAACTCATTTTTTTTTCATCGTTATTAGCGCTTAAATTTCCATATCCATTAATCGCTACTATTCTTTTTTTATAACGCCATTTTTCCGTTTGTACACTGGGAAAGTTTGCAATTTAGTATGTAATGGTTTCAAAATTGTTGGAATTGTTTGTCTGTCCCTCTGTTACATGCTTGTTAAGTACTAACATCTTAGTTTCTTTTTATGTACTTTTGTTAGCTGTTTATATACCAATTGCGTTTTATGTACTCTTCGTTTTTTTGAGGCCATTAATGAGCCAAGCCCATATTTTTGGTGCAGAACAAGTTATACATGAATTAGTTTGTAATAAAACAATGTACAGTGTTCCAAAATGAATTGTAAATAATTAACGTTAAGAAATCTTTGTTAATATTGTGTTGTGTTTTTATATTGCAACAAAATTTAAGACTTCATAGATAAATAAAAAGTTTTTATCAATTATTTCCTGGTGTTTCATTTGACCTACACAAGCGGCGGAGAAAATCTACATAATTTGTTAATTGGAAAGGTAGTAAATTTTTTTATTTTCGCATAAGTAAGTAGCATTACGAAATTACTATTCAGGTATAGGCAGGTGGCAAATTTTTGCGAAAAAATAAAGGATTCATTTGGTCAAAGTGCTGCTGCTCCTGCTTTAAGCTGTCAATTAGTGCATAGCTTAGCAACTGTGAGAAGCCTCCGGTATGAATACAATATTTCCACATCGTTGGCTTATAGGAACTCAAATTATTTTACGTGTGACTAGTTTTACACATGTCGAGATATGTATAGGGCGTATGCACACCATGTGGACGGAGTGCAGATCATATAATTTCTTGCCATACTTTGTGCTACGTGTAATCGCTATTGTCAAAAGTCACCCAAGATTCAAGACGACAACATTTATGAAGAAAGGTAGTCGGCAATGGAATTTTGCAGTAGGAATTAAAAAAAAAGGTAATTTGTAGCCAAAAAATATATTTTGGGGTAAGTTTTATCGTCCCTAAAATAGTGACGTAAAGTAAGCAGTAGAATTCTAGCAATTTTTCTCCACTCTTTTTGAATATGGGCACGAACTATCGATATCGATTTTAAATCAAAATCATCCTCTGCTAATTATAATATCGATTATTTGTTTGAGGGTCAAATCTGACTGAAAAAAAGCTTACGTATTCTATTGTACAGGGCGGATCAAATTCGTGGCTCACCATTGGGATCTCTCCAACCGAGGGGTATTTCACTGGGGAATTTTGGTGTACAAGTGGAGGAATTTACGAAGGAATTGAGAGGCATTGAGGGGAACTGAAGTCTTGAAGGAATTTAAAGGGAATGGAATTGGGCATTGGGCATATGATCATGTACCGCGCATGCCCAGTAACAAATCATGTTAAAAGAATAGTTATTACTCTTCTCGAACTTTATCAGGTAACGGGGATTATCTACAGGTTTTTTTACCAAATCAAAAGTCAATCGTCATACAGATTGTCTTTTTATTGGCTTCTTAACGAAAATAAGAGAAAGATTAGCAATGATAGAACTAAATAAGCCTTTATCCTTATAAAAGAAACGCTCTTTTTAGCGCATTTTTGCAAAAAATTTTTTTTGTAAAAAGTAGCTTTTAATCTCACTTTGGCTGGCTGGCTGGCTGGCTGGCTGGTCGGCTGGCTGGCTGGCTGGCTGGCTGGCTGGCAGTAAATGCGTGCCCGTAGAAAAACGCTTGTAAAAAGACAAGGAGTGTACATGTAACTATCGGGGCCGTGTAATTAAGAACGTTAGGGATGGGGCTACAAGATTTGGAGTCGACGACATCTGGACGGCATCCCCGAGCGTATTATACTAACCTGGAGATTTTTCAGTTTTTATCTATCTTCTTCTACAGTTTTTCTCCGATTGTTTTCAAATTGGTGTCGTCGGGAAGATCTTGTCAACGCGCACAACTCCTGCGTCGCGGAATTTTGTTTTTTTTCCTAGGGGCGACATAAACCACCTTTTGCGCGGCGCGCTTCGAGGGGTAGACGACTTTGGGCGCCCAAAAGTTTCTTACAGCGCGAATCGCGGTCTCTCTTTCTCGTGTCACTAATAGAAGGTCGAGCTATGTGAAGTACCCAAAAGTTGAATACGATTTTATGCCGGGATTTTAGCGAAATCTACCAAAATGTGAATTACGAATGAACGGGACGTCGGAACTGTGTATCGACAAAGGGAATGTGGTAACCCCCGACGAGATCTTACTGATGGTGGAGTCGAAACTTCAAATCCGAATTGTTGCGGGTGATCAGAAGTGGGTGTCGACAAAGGGAATATGGTAACCCCCAAAGGATTTTAATGATGGTGGAGTCAAAACTTCAAACGCGAATTGCGAGTGCACGGTAAGTGAACGTGGTAGCTTTCGGCAAGATCTTATTGATGGTGGAGTCAATATTGGCTAATAAAACACTGATCTGCCACACAAAAATGCGCTGAAGTCCCTTCGATCTCACACGAGGACTTTGATCATTTTTTATGTCTATGAATATGTGTACCAAACGTGGAATGAAAGTACAGACGGACCGACGTCATCGAGATTTTGTTTGATTCAAATTCCTGGTGCTGCAAAAAGTGGGGGTCTTTTTTCATCCCAATGAAATATCTCCCTTACTTACGTGCTGTTAGTAAAAAGAAACAGATTATTTTGTACCTTCCGATATAGCAAAAGATGACAAAATGTTTCTTTTTGTCTGGTCCAATAAATCGTTAAGGAATCATTCGCTTAAAGGAACAAATTTTGTGAATATGTCAAAAAAATGCAAATCCTTCAAATAATGCCTCTAATTATGTGCCATTACTTGCAATGTAGTAGTGAAAGTTCATTACCTAGGATAAGCTTTGTTTTCGTATCTAGGCAGTAGGAATTTTGATTATACAGGATTGGTCATAAAGGCGTGGTTCACCAATATTGCATTTTTTTAATACACTGTATATTATTCGATATTTCAATTCTTCTCTCGATTGTGAGCATAATTTGCAATAATAATGCAATCGTTTCCGAGTTATCGAGTTTTGAAAATAAAAGGTATCGCTTTAAAATGTTGTGATGTTGTACCTATCATTAATTATTGTTTGATTACAATAATAGCGTTTATTTTCAAAACTCGATAACACGAAAACGATTGAATTTAGATACATTATGCTTATTACAAATTTTGCTTAAAATTGAGAGAGGAATTGAAATAATGAATAATATACAGGTTGTTCCATTTAAAAAATGCAATTTCGTTGTGCCGCGCCCTTATGATCAACCCTGTATAATTAAATTATTATACTACACATTGAAGAACCCCAAAACTTTTGCATAAAACATATTTCGATATCTTGTATATTTTCCCCGATAATCGACAGTTTCCAGACTTATCAGCGAGCCCGTATATTGTTGTTGTATTTGTTTGTGTATTATCATACCTGAAGTATCGTTATGTTTATTTGCCTTTGTCTTTAAAATGACAGAGAGAATTTGTTTTTATTACATGATTATTATTTATACTTTTTTCATAAGATTGGGGGAGTAACAAAATATAATAAAATGTTTTTTTTAAAATACAACTCAATCTTTCCATGGATTTGTTTAATTCAGTGGCATTCAAATAACTAATAGTAACATTTCGCCGTCTGAAGTTTAGCACTATAATTGCATGCAAATAAATCTTTTTTTGTAATGCTCGTATGAAAATTTTTGCAAGGTACAGAAGTCTAATCGAAAAAGTACGAATCGTTTTGGATTCTACGCACCAAAATTAATAAGAAAAAGTGTTTTCCCGAGAAATTTTGGTGTAGTCGATTTTTGGTTAAAAAGGAAGGTTATACACTGCCTTTTTTTGAGGCTCAAAAAAAATTGTCACAGATCGACCGGAAAAAAACATTTTCTTATAGAATAAGGCCTGTAGATTCCATAATTTCAAACAGTTCCAAGATTGGGCTACTAGATCAAAAGTTACAGCCCTTTGAATTTTCTTTCGAAATGGTTTTTAGTCCATAACTTTTGATTGAGAAGTCTAATCGAAAAAGTACGAATCGTTTTGGATACGCACCAAAATTAATAAGAAAAAGTGTTTTCCCGAGAAATTTTGGTGTAGTCAATTTTTGGTAAAAAAGGATACTCTGCCTTTTTTGAGGCCACAAAAAAAAATTGTCTCAGATCGACCGGAAAAAAACATTTTCTTATAGAATATGGCCTGTAGATTCCATAATTTCAAACAGTTCCAAGATCGGGCTACTAGATCAAAAGTTACAGCCCTTTGAATTTTCTTTCGAAATTGGTATTTAGTCCATAACTTTTGATTGAGAAGTCTGAAGGTATTAACCGTTCCTATTGCTACCATTTACACTAATAGAGAAAAACGGTTGGGAATTGAGGGGAATTATGGAAAATCCGGGGGGGGGGGATTAAAGGAATTGAGAGGGGGGAATAGAAGAGGAATTATAGGTAATTAAAAAGAATTAAGGGGAATTGAAGGAATTAATGGAAAAGAAGAATTTTCGTGCACAAATGCTCATTGGTGGAATAACCCTAGTCTCCAACGGTAAGAGAAACAGTGTAGATTAACTGGGACCAAAGCTGCCCCTTTTCATAACTACAAAAACACTTTTGAAAGTTTTGAAAAATCTAACTGAGATATCAAAAAACTGAAAATGTCAAATTTTGTTTTTATTGTCCCTACCTTAAACGGTCGGAAATGGACGTTTCCCGTTAACACTTTCTATTGCCACGTTTTTTCGTAGAATATGAATCTGTTATCGAATTTCCATAACACGATAGATGTAGAAAGCTACAGACTACTACTTTCTAAGTGTTTATGGACGCCACATTTTTATGGAATGATTTTTTTTTTCGAATTTTCAAAAATTAATGTTTGATTCGTGATTTTCATGTTCAAAAACCCCTAGATTCGGCGAAATCAGAATCTTTTACTCATCTCTGTTTAAAGGTGCACTCTTTCGTAGTATAGAAATTTAAAAAAAATTGCAAAATCGGAAAGGGCATAGCGCAAAACCTATTCAAAGACGTGTCACCAGTTTTTCTAACTCATAGTTACCTACTGATAAAAAAATTAAAGAAGAAATGTAAATTTCACCACTCTTTTTAGGGTGGCTCCCAAACGAAACTGCTAAATATTGTGAGACCTTTTGCATTTTGCCCAAGCGACCTGCTTAAGTCAGTCATTGCGAAAAAGTATTGGTTAATTTTGCGCTAGTGGTGTGATTGGATGCTGCATTGACACCACTCTCACACAAAAAATGAATTTACGTGCCGCAGCATTACGTTTTACGAAATTTTTTTTGCGAGCCAAAATTTCAATTAAAACAAAATTACAAAACAACCATTTTTCATTTTGAACTTATAGCTGTGGAATTGAGTGCTGCCTCTTCATCAAGTGATTGTTCAACAATTCCTGTCCATGGCTCTACTATTGCGCGATTTTTAAATA